CCCCCATCCCTGTGTGTGGAAAAAACCGGCGTCCACGAAACTGGTCCCTGGTGCCAAAAAGGCTGGGGACCGCGGGATGAACCACAGGGCCCGTCCTGGCGCGGCGGGACCAGGGAGCACAAATGCGGGGTCTCACGGCTGCCTCTTCCCGGTGGACAGTTAACCAGTCAGCCAGTCTGCTTGGCTTTGTCGGAACGAATGGGGACCTCTTTATAAAGGATTTCTTTTTAAATCAAACACTAAATATTTTAAGCAAAATCTCCCCGATGGGCTTAATTTCTGATCTTTGTCAGCTCTCTTCAGCTAAGCACAAAATCCAGACAAGCAACAGTAGCTCAAAATGTATCCTCTGGGTGCCTCACTTTTAGGTTTGGCAGCAAGGAGTTGAAATGAACCAGACCCGAAATGAACCAGACCTGCTGACCTGTATCAAAATGTTAAACATTCTTAGTGTCTTGTCTTTGAGACCGGAAGGGAAGTGTTACCTGGCGAGAGTTTCTGTGGGGGTGGGAGGGAGGTCCCGGCTCCAACCTCCTCCCGCACCCCTAGCCTTGGGCTGTGGTCCCAGTGGACAGTAGAGCCCTCCTTGCCTCAGCCTAAGTTTGAAAATAAATAGATGGAAATAGGCAGGAGGGCCAGACGCTTGTGGAAGGAAGCCGGTAGGCGGTCAGGAGATTTAGGTCACTACGATGAAACGAGCTCCCCGATAATGGAAATGATCAGTAAAAGTGGGAGTTGCACCCTGCCTGGCGTAGCTCAGTGGATTGAGCGCAGGCTGGGAACCAAAGTGTCGCAGGTTCGATTCCCAGCCAGGGCACATGCCTGGGTTGCAGGCCATGACCCCCAGCAACCGCACAATGATGTTTCTCTCTCTCTCTCTCTCTCTCTCTCTCTCTCTCTCAAAATAAATAAATAAAATCTTTTTTAAAAAAGTGGGAGTTGCTGAGCCTTCTTGGAAACCATCCTTGGACGGTGCGGCTGCTCTCACGCCGGCGTGGCTGAGGACCACGCCGAAACGGCGTCCTATCCTGAGACGCCGGGCGGTTCCTACGCGCCCTTCCTGACGAAGGCGCTCGCGGACAGGACTGGCGCGGTGAGGCTGGTGCCGGTGAGAGCACAGTTTAGATGCCAGGGGGTGTCAGCCCCGCGGCGTGGGTGGAGGGTTCGCAGGAAGAGGGACCGTCCTGAGACTGGGAGGGAGACCTCTCACTGCAGGCAGAGACGAAGCTGTGAAATCAGCGGACATTGGAGGGGAGGAGCCAGGTTCCCGCGGTCGACCGACCCTGGGCCTCACGGCAGTGGGGTGGAGGTCCAGTTCACGGGGCGGTGGGTGTGCGGAGGGGGCACTGTGCAAACACCGGCAGGAAGCCCCAACCCCAGCACGGGGTGGGGGGGTGGGGCGCAGTGTAGGCCCCAGCCAGGCCTGACTCCTTGGGAGCTAAATCCTGGTTCCAGCACTTGGTAACCTGCATCACCTTGCCAAATCACCTCGCCCCTGGGCGCTGTGCAGAGACAGTGTTCACGGAGCCTGAAGCGTCCCAGGCCCGCTGTGCACCGCGGGGCCTGGCTTTCCAGACTGTCGTGTCACAGAACCACGGAGCCTGTTTCCGAGGTGTGCCCTAAGGGTTCAGTGGGGTAGCATCAAAGGTTTAGAAGAGCTCTCCGCGCCAGCAAATCCGACGAAGACGGGGTAATGTCAGGATTGACCACTAGGTGGAGACATACTCCAACAAATGAGCAGCTGACCTGGCCGGTCTGGAAACGGTTTATGGGCTGAAGTTCAACTCCCAAGTAGCTAAGCGCCTCAGATCGCTGATTTTTCTGTTAGGAGTTTTAAAGGCGTGGGGTAGTTCTTGAATTGGGTCATGAGAGACGTGGGTTTGTTGCCACGGGTGCTCAGCGACTTGAGGGCCCCAGATGCAGAGGCACCTCCAGTGAGCTCGGTCTTCCCCTTTCAAAGTTCAGTTCCCAGGAGGGAGGGTGCACCGGCTGGGTGTCCTTAGTCCTGGCAGGTCGTCCTGAGACCAGCCCCTGCTCCTAGGAGACGAACCCTCTGTGCATCCTTTCTGCCCTGGCTCTCTGCCCCGGGCCTTGGAGCCACAGTCTGCCCTGGCGGCCGAGGCAGGTTCCAGACACTGTGGTTAAGCTGGTCGGGGGTCCAGGTGGGTTTCTAAGCCCTCCGGCAGCCGGGCCCACTGCGGCCTTGCTGAGGTCAGCCCCTCAGCCTGGGGAGCTGGTTCTGGTGGCGCTGTGCAGGCCACAGGTGCCAGTTTGGGGAGGGCAGGGGTGCTGGTCTCCCTTCAGCTCCCTAACAAGTCCTGGGAGGCCCCCGTTCAACCTCTGCGCCCTGGCTCCCCCGGCGAGGTCCCAGGCCCCCAGGGGAAGCTGCTGGAATGCTGCTGGAATGGGAGCACACCGGCCAGGCAGGTCTGGGCGTTCCCCTGCGCCCAGGGGGCTGCAGGGAGGGCCCTGAGAGCCAGCTTCTGCAGGTGCTGCCGTCTCCACCTGGTGCTCCCGCCTCCCCCTCCCCCACCCAGCCCTCCCTGGGCCCCGGGTGGTGCCGCAAAGGCTGCCCAGCACCACATTCAAGGTCAGTCCCAAGGGTGGGACTCCCTGCACTTACCAGGAGGCAGACCCCTCCCACATGGGGTCCCTGGTTCCTGGTCCTGTCCCTCCTAGAGGACTGACAGTTCCCAGTTGTGACCCTAACCTTCCTAGAGGAATGCCCCATCCTTGTAACCTGCCAGTCCCCTGAGAGGCTTGGCAGGGACCAGCAGGTGTCGCTGTCCATTACTGTGGACACGAAGGGAGAGGGGCAGTGTACGCGTCACCTGGCTGTGCTGTTCCTGGAGGTTCCTGGGACAGCGTGGGCTGTGGTGGCTCGGTCCTGCCTGTCGTCACCGCCCAAGGAGGGCCCCACGGAATTGCTCCAAGTCCCTTTTCCTCTGCAGCTGGCAGCGGTGGCTTCAAAGACGGAAACCCTTATCAGGGCCTAGGGGGCCGTGGGGGACCTGCCTACCTCACAGCCTCTTTTTTTCTTAAAAAATAAAGGTATGTCTTTTATCTTTTTATAAAGGTATGTATTCTAAAGTAAGGCCTTTTGGGGGGTGTAATTCACAGTGACATGCCCCCTGCTCAGTGGGCCGGTCTTTGAATTTTGACAAGCACCCACAGGTGTGTGACCGCCACCATGATGGAGAGTATGTGTGCGGCCCCCCAAAGTCCTGGCGCGCCCCGGCCTGGGGAAAACCTGTTCTCTGCAGCTTCCAGTCTCTCCTCGTCACTGCCCTGACTTTGGGGTCTGCACTTGCCGGTTCCCCTTCAGCCCCCCCGTCCACCGTGGTCCCTGATCTCGCAGGTACTGCCCCTCTGTGCAGAGTCCCCCGAGTCACCGCCCCTCCATCATCTTTCTGCTCGCACCATGTCCCCTGCTCCCGGAAGCACCCCTGCCCCGCCCCCGCCCTCTGTGACACCCTCACAGGGACCCTGTGTGGGACCAGAGGCGGCCCCCGCCTGTCAGGCTCTAGACCCCCCGCAGACAGGGGCCTGTGTGTTGTACTCATTTCTGTTCCCCGAGGACAGAGGGTGCTCCGTCAACATTTCTGGAAGGAAGGGAGCCCCTATGAGAGAAGAGTTGTTTCTGGCCTTCTGGCCACGTGCGGGCACCAGCCTCGGGCATGCGTGGACGAGAGGTCCCCCCTTTCCGGCCCCGTCAGGCTCTGGGAACTGAGGCTCACACTGACAGCCAGCAGGAGAGGCCTGACACAGGACAGGACCCTCTCTCCTGGCCCCGGGGGTCTCTGACGGCCCAGGGCTGCTGAGCACTGTCCACGTGTGTTTGTGTCTGTGGGTGTTTGCAGACCCCCGCCTCCACCTGGTCCCTGGAGCCAGGACCCTGGGAGTCTCTGCACGGTCTCCTGTGTCACTGGTGTCTGCCCCTGTCACTACTGCCCCTTAGACTGGCTGTCAGGGAGCATGCCCCATCCCCTGGCGACCCCGTAGCTCCTCCACTCCCGCCTTCCCAGCCACAGGGGCCCTGGGCCCTGCCCCCGGACCTGCCCGAGCCTCCCCCTCCCTGCCTGCCCTTCCTGCCCCGTGTCCTCCGGTCACACTGTGCTCCTTTCAGGGGCAGACCCTCGGCCTCTCCCGCCCGGGGCCTCCGCAGGCCCTCGGGGAGCGGAAGGGGAGCGCACCTGCGAGGCTTTACCGGGTCTGCGGCTGCCCGCAACCATGTGTGTCCGCGGACCCTGCTTCTGCTTTTCCCCAGAGCGCCCCTAGCCTCGCTTGGCCACCCCTGTGCGTGGGCTGTCGCCACCGCCCACCGCAGGGCGGCGCGCCCTCTGCGCAGGGGCTTCCTCTGCTCCCGCGCAGTGGTGGGACGGGAGGGCGGGGGGCACGGTGGGTGCGCAGTAAGCGGGGGCCGCGGACCTCCCACGCGCTCCCCCCTCTGCTCCGGACAGCTCAAGGGCCCTTCCTCCAGGGGGCCCGCCCTGTTTCGCCTGCCAGGGGGGATCACGCTGCTCTCCTCGGTCCCCGGTGCTCCCTAGGCGACAAGTACCGAGCGCTGCTCCTCCGTGTCTCCATCTTTCAGTTTCCCGCCCTCTAACAGCCCTGGAGGCCGCCAGGCTGGCCTCTCTCTCGCCGGGAGTGCTGGCTGCACTCACCGACACTTTCTGTCCTTAATTAGATAATAAGTCATTAATGAGAAGCCCAGGGGCTTAGAGAGTGCTATGAAGAAACAGATTTTTTTTTTCACTTCTCCCTCCCTTTTCTCTGGTAGGGCCAGGACGGATCCCAGACCACAAAAGGGTTCCTTGGCTGGACGCCCTGCAGCCCGCGGGCGCCCAGGGGGCGGGGCCAAGGCCCGGGCGGGCCGGGGGTCTGGGCGGGGCGAAGTCGGGGGCGGGGCGGAGCCTGGGGGCGGGGCGGAGCCTGGGTCCCGTTTGCTTCCTGGGCTGGTGGCTGCTTGGGCAGCGGCACCCAGCGGGCTCTCGCGGCCGAGCCATGCCGGCCGCACGCGTGGAGTACGTCGCGCCCTGGTGGGTGGTGTGGCTGCACAGCGTCCCGCACCTCGGCTTGCGCCTGCAGCGGGTGGACAGCACCTTCAATCCCCGCGATGAGAATTACCAGGAGGTGAGTCGCGCCGCCCCAGATCGGAGCCACCCCCTCCTCCTCCCCAGCCCACCACACTCTCCGCTAGCCTCTGGGACCTCCCGCTCCACCGCAGCCGCTTCTCTTCACCCCGCTTCCCCTTTCCCCCAGGACCCTCGGCCCTGGGCCTTCCCGTCTGGAACCTCGTGGGCCCGGGAGTTGAGCCGGTGGCGGTGGGAAAGGGCGCGCAGGCTGCCTGCGGGGGGCGGGGCAGGGCCTCCGAGGGGAGGGCCTTTGTGTCTGTACCCTGGTATTTCCTGCGCGGGCCCGGGGCTCCCGGCGATCTCCTTCTCCTGCGGATTCAAGACGAGCGCTCTCGTTCCGGGGCTGGGAGATCCGGGAGAAGTTTGGTCAGGAGATAAGGGCAGTCTCCCAAGTTCGACCCCGCAGCACCCCACCTCCCCAGCCCAGGCCTGCAGCGCGAGAGCCGCTGCCGACACGTCTCTTCCTGGGCCACAACTGGACGGCAGCAGGGCTGGGGAAGGCGGAGGCGGTGACTTCCCTCTGGCCCCCTGAGAACCCACAGACACGTGTGGATGTTTTGGGGGAAGGATGGTGGCCTCGGGCCCGCCCCATCTCACCGGCGGCACCCTCCCGCCCTCTCCACACACACCGCCCCCCCAACCCTCCAACTACAAACACGCCTCCACCCTGAAAGTTCGCGGTCTTTGCTTCTTGGCCAGACGCTGTCCTCCCCGCTGCTCCTTGCACTGCTGCCCTTTCCTCTGTGGACTCTGCACCCCGTGGGCGGGGTGGGGTGCTCCCCAGACCTCTGGTCCCCAGTAGAGCTGCAGAATCTCCCAGCCTTTGCACGTCTGGCCTAAACCCAACTGAGTCAGTTCTCTGCAGAATCAAAGCGTTAGGCCGGGGCGGCGAGGGACGGGGCGGAGCCTACTTGTTTAGAGCTTTGGGGCCCTATCGGGACTTTGACCCCCGGCCAGCGGGGCCTGCAGTGTCAGGTTCTCAGGCAGCGTTTCCCTGTGTGGGGCCGTTTGTTCGGGCCAGCCGCCCCGGGGCCAGCCGGAGGCTGAGCCTGCGGTCAGCTGTTCGCCTCTTCCTGCCAGGCCTTCCTCTTGCAGGCCTGGGGACCGCGATCCTGACCCGGAGGGTGGGCCGTGCGAGGTGACTGGGGCTCTAATAATAACCCCTGTTGCCCCCAGGCCTGGGCGCGCGGGCCCTTCCAGAAGGAGCAAGAATCATTACCCTCCCAGCCTGCAGCGGGCAGATCCGCAGATCGGAGGTTTTGCCTGGCAAAGCTCCCTCCTAATCCGTGCTTGCCCCGCCCACTCCCATGTTTGCCCCGCCCTCTCCCGGCGCCTGGCCGGTGAAAGTCAGTGCTGCTGAGAAGGCCGCTTGCCTCTGGGGACTGGGACAAGGACGGCCCTGGGGAATCTTCCCTCCCTCCCCCTCCCTGCACTTGCAGGAAGAGAGGCGATGAGATTTCGGAGACAGCTGGGTTGTAGCGTTTGCGCCCGTCCCAAACCCTGTGCCCCAGGTCGCCTGCTCTTGCGCCCAGGGTCTCTCTCCCGTCGTAGTTTCCTCCGTCTCCACTGGAGGAAATCTGAACTCCTCACTGGGTCAGCTGGCTCGCCCCCGAGGCCCCCAGAAACAGCACCTGTCTCGCCAGCAGCTGTGGCTGGCACCACCTGAGCCTGCTCCATCCCCTTGGTCCCATGGACGGGTGTAGCCTCTGAACTGGAAGGACCCACTCACAGCCCTGCCGCTGTCCTCCCGGGATCTGGAGCCTGGCACGCTGCTGGGCACCAGGAGACCAGAGGGCATTGCCTCCCCGTGGGCCACTGCCCCTGGGCAGCCCGACGCCCAGCCCCACCCCCCGCTCCTTGTCCCACTCAGGCCTCCTGAGGACACGGAATGGGAGATGAGTCGCTGGGCTGGGCCGGGCCGGGCCGGGCTGGGCAGTCTGGCTCTGGGTGTTATTTAAGGAGGGTGTTATTCCTATTTTGGTAAGTTCCCGTTGTCTGTCCTGGACATCCCCTTTGTCGCGAGCGGCGGCCACAGCCAGTCGGGCAGCAGGCCGGTGAGCGGCGCGGGCTGGGCGCTGCTGCTCCCGGTCACTTGGCGCTCAGCAGACTGGGCTGGAAACAAGCTCTGCCCCGGGCGTGGGCGGCGTGCTGACCCAGGGAGCCGGGGCCTGGGGCTGCTAGGGCTGCGCCATCCGGCTTTCTGGGTTGGAGTCCCAGTTTCATCACCTCCTGCGTGACCAGGGCAGGTGTCTGCACCTCTCTGAGCCTGTCCTCCCTCACCTGGAAAACATGCAACGAGGTGTCCCATGTGACATGCGTAGCACCTGGAGGGTCCCGTAGCACAGAGTAGGACCAGTGATATGAACCGTTACTTGGACTGGCGTTGAGTTTCAGCAACATGTTCAAGTACGTGCCCCTCAGTGGGTGCAGAGGGAAGACGTCTGCAGGCACTGACCAGAGGAGACTGGGGAACCGCCTGCACACCTGAGCGGTGCCAGCTGGCGGTGCGGGGGGTGTGTGTGTGTGTGTGTGTGTGTGTGGACACAGGCAGGGGCAGGCCTGGAGCAGATCGTGGGAAGGAGGTGAGGAGCAGGCCGCCTGGTAAACAGACTGTCCTGAGCCACCCCAGTTCCCAAACTTCCCGGAGGAAGCAGGGGCCCCCGCCCCCGACTCTCTGGGGTCTTGGGGAGCAGTGGAAGCCCCCTGGTAGTGTGTCCTTCTTCCACCCTTCCGCCCCAGTGGACCCCACGTCCTTGCTCAGGTCCCGAGGAGGTGGCACTGGAGTCAGCAGAGCCAGGTGAGCCGAGCAGGGTGGAGGAGGGGCCCCGGTGTCAGGCTGCCCAGCCTGGCTGCGTGTCCAGAGGGGAAGCGGCCGGAACTCCCAGCCTGAGTCTCCTCCCCTTCGATGGGCGGGAAGGAGCAGAGATGGAGTTGAGAGAGAACCTGATAAGCTAGTGGGTATAACGCGTGTGGCCAGGGACTGGAACCCCATCGACTGCCACGAGTACTGCTGGCCAGGTGTGTCTGCTGGGCAGAGGCGGGGGCAGCAGAAGGGGCCCCCCGGCACTGCCTCCAGCCGTGTCTCCTGGAACTAGCCACTTCACCTCCCTTCTTCAGTTGCCGCCGCCACCCTCCCCTGCCCCCCCTCACGGGGAGACCAGACACTAGAGAGCTAGTGTGCCTGAGATGTACTGTTCATATTTAGGCATGTATGTTCATGTCTTGCCTTGGGTGGTTCTGTTTATAGACTCCCCTGGAGAGTGCCAAGTGTGTGTCCCCAAGCCATGGGAGGGGACAGAGTGGGGCCTGGACCCAGAGCTACAGGCTCCCCCACTACCTGCCTCCCCGCCTTGGGGGGCAGGTCTCAGGAGGAAAGGCCAGGCAGGGGCCCCCCAGAAGGATCTGAGAGGAGCCTGGGATGAGGAAGCCCCATTCATCCCGTCTGAACATTGAGTCATGGTCATCAGACAATCACGCTGCACCCTCCCCCACCCCCAGCCCCCCCGGGGGGGAGGGGGGACAGGCTGGTGCTTAACCCTTCCAATCCGGAGCCTCCGGCTCCCCTCCCCCCGGCCTCACCCCTGGGCTGGCTCACTCTGTCTCCTAGGGTCTCTGGGTAGAGAGGCTCAGGTGGTTGCCCCTCCCCCACTGAGCGCAGCAGCCCCTTGGGGTCCAGGTCTAGCCTCAGCCTTCCCAGAATGCACCTCGGCCCCTGCTGCCCCCGCTTGGGTCCCGGGTTCCCGCTCCGGGTTTCTCGTTGCAAAGCGACAGACCGGAGCTAACCCAAGTCACTCGGACGAGGAGAGACGCTGGGGGCTGAGCCCTGGCGCGGGGCTGTGGGCGCCGTACGAGGTGCTGGGTGGGGTGGTCGGCTGTCCTTCCCAGGCTCTGGCCCGGCAGAGCTCCTGGCTCCCTCCACACGGGGCTCCTCCCTCCTCCGTCCGCCCCTTACGCCCTGCACACACGGGCACTGGCAGTGTTAATTAGAAGCAGGAACATAATTGCCTGTTCGAGGACGTCAGGGGACACCGAGGTGGCTGCGGAGAGGGTTCCGTGGTTAACCGTCCCTGCCCCTCCCCTCCTTCCTCTCCCAGACCCCTCTGCCCTGGCCCATCCTAACCGCCCCCCCCAACCCCCAGGACCTGGGAGAACCCCAGAGGTGAACTGTTTACAACGCCCTCCGAGTCTGGGTTCCCCAGGGCTGTGCTGCATTGTCTGTGACCTCAGTGAGGCCAGCTGCCCGGCCCGGAGAGGCCCGGTCAGCCACCCACCCGACCGGGTTCCCGGGAGGTCAGGAGGCCGGAGTGGACGGTGAGAATGGGCAACGAGGGGGCCAGGAAATGGGGGAGCCAGCGCAGGGACCGATGGTGGGGGGCCAGGGGCTGCGCTTGGAGAGAAGAAAATGGCACAGCCCACAGGTCGCACGTCTCAGGGGGCCCTACCTTGCGGGGTGGGGACGTGTGGTAGAGGCAGTGAGTGGCCTTTCCTGTTTGGGGCAGACTGGGGGCCCGGGGCAGAAGTCTGGGTGCTAACCAGTCTCTAATCCATACAAAAGGCCTGTCTGGGTTCACGTCACTTGTTTTCCCCCATTAGGAATAACTTACAGGAAAGTGAACAGGGGTGTGTGGGGGGAGTGAGTGTGGGATGCATTCCACTCAGAGTCTATTTCTGGGCCCCAAGAGGCCCATTCCTGAGGGCTCCCCCGAGTCTGTGCACCATTCGGACTCTATCCCCACGGATGCGTTTCTCTGACTTGGCGGTTCACATGAATTGAAGTGTGCGGTCCCTGCTGTTTTGTTTCCTCCAACGTGGCGTCTGGGGTCATCCACGTGGTCGTGGGTAGCTGCCGTCCACTTTTCGTGGCTGCGTCGTGTTCCACGCCGCGGCTGTAGCACACGCTCTGTATCCCTGCCCTCGCTGTGGGCATCCGGGGTGAGTCCGGTGTCTGATGTGGCCTCTGTATGAAGCTGTGGTGGATTTTCATGTGTGTCTCCCCTGGGGGGGGGGGGCGAGCCCTCCTTTCTGTGAGGTGCACATGCAGGAGCGGGGCTGCTGGGTGCGGTGTGGGGCGTGCACGCGGCCCACTGGTCTGCCGAGTGTGTTCAGGGATCCCTGGGCTTTGGCCGCGGGGCCTCAGAGCCCTGCCCTTCCACCCACTCCTCGGTGAGGCCGGCAGGGTACGGGTCCCTGCTGAGCCAGTCTGAAGAAACGGCTGAGCGATATGGGAAAGGGTGAGAAAGTCTGGTGACACCGATCAGTGCCTCCCGGACTTGAATGGGGGACAAGTCTTGTGGGGTGTCTCCAGACACTGCCCTGATTCTCTGGGTCTATGGCAGGACCTGAGAGCCCACATCACTCCCCAGACCCTGCACTCCAGACGGCGGCAGCAGTGCCGGCTGGTGAGCCCCACTTCCAGTAGTGGGGTTCTAAACCGCCCCTGTGCTTGGCCCCTTGGCCTCGGTCTGACTGAGGCTGCAGGGACTTCCCAGAATGCCGTGGGCTGGGGGCAGGAAGCGGGCAGCTCCTGCACAATGTCCCGTAGGGCAGGGACCCATCCCCTGCCTCACTGTGAGGACTTCCAGCAGGTGACACGGGCAGGTCCACTAGGATCTAGTCCCCCCTCGGCCCACAGGGGGACTGAGCATCCACGCTGGGGAGTCGGGCAGGCAAAGTTCCTGCTCACACCTGTGACATTTGTCCCAGGCGAAGGTGGAAGCCACACTTCAAGTCACATTGACCTCCCCGCTCCCAAATGAGCCATCTCTTCTGTCTTCTTCTGGGATGTCCCCACCAGGATCATCGTTTGTGCCTGAGGCTCAGAAGCCTGTTGGTCCAGGAGACCAGCAGAGCAGGTTGGGTCAGGGATCCAGGAAGGGCGGGTGGACCCAGCAGGCGGCCTCACTGTTGAAAACGGCCCCAGGCACCGGGGCTGCAGCCCCAGCCCCCAGTTCCCAGGCGGGTCTCAGTGGTGCGTGTCTTCTGGCTGCCTCCTGCACCAGGCTTGCCTCCCCTGACCCCCCGAAAGGCCCCCGCCTGCCCCCCACTCTGCTGACCGCCCCCACCAGCGTGGTGGTTCCCTGAAACAGGCTGCCCACCCCTGACAGCCGGGACTGAAGCACATGGGGCCCTGGGCCGGAACCCGCTGGGGGGCCCGCGGGAAGCCGGGTGAGGTTCTCACCGCAGGAGCCTGACTCCCAGCCAGGTCCAGCCCTGGCTGGCGGCCACCAGTCCTAGTGCCATCTGGTGCCCATCTGGCTGGACACGAGATTGGAGGGCACAGCGTGGGGCCCAGGTCCCCCAACAGACAGCCGCTTTCTACGGGCCCCTGAGGTCCTCGGTGGGCCTGAGGCCGCACCTCCCCAGCCACAGAACTCGGGGTGCTGCCGCTGCCACTGGCCGTGGGGGTCGCTGTCCTGTTCGGATGTGGTGAGAGGGACTCCATAGGTGTGTGTGCTGACACCTCCCCGCCCCCTAGCTCAGCGCTGGCTTCTCCTTTCTCTGCATGGACCCCCACACCTGGGACAAGGCCCGAGGGAAGCAGACCCTCCAGGCCGCCCCTCCCTGGCCCAGGTCCCACTGGGCCTCTGAGCTCTCCAGGCGGCCTGGATGCCCCAATGTGCAGGGATGTCCCTCTCCCTGTCTGCCTCCCTCTGCCACACCTGACACCTGCAGCCCTCGCTCCCAGCGGTCGCCTCCTGCCTGGGGCGCCCGTCCGGCGGGCCTAGTCCCTGTGTCCGTCCGGGTGTGTCAGCTGCAGCCCCCGCAGCCGCCCTTCAGCTGCTCCTCCTCCCTCACCTCCTGCCCAGCTCACCACAGCCTGCCTGTTCGTCCTTCCCGGGGCCTCCCCAGACCCCACCACCCGAGTGCCTGGCGCTGTGCTCAGAGCAGGAGCTTGGGTCAGGAGGGAGGACGGCAGACACCCCACTTGACCTGGCTCCTGCACCCATCGCCCCGAGGGGGCTCCCGGCCCTGAGGACTGGACCCTTCCCCCCCACCCCCCACCCCCACTCCGTGGGAGCAGCGCTGACCCCGGTCCTCTGCCTCTGCAGTCGCTGCTGTTCCTGGGGCTGGTGGCCGCCGTCTGCCTGGGCCTCAACCTCGTCTTCCTCACGGCCTACCTGGTCTGCGTGTGCTGCTGCCAGCAGGACGGCGCCGTGCAGACCAAGCTGCGCAAGCCCTGCTGCGTCACCTGGTCGGCCGTGGTGGCAGGGCTCGTGTGCTGGTGAGTATCCCTCCGCGCCGGGCCTAACGCACGTGGCTCCCGGTTCTCCGTGTGCAGGAGGCGAGGCGGGCCCAGTGGATGGGAAGCCGGCCTGACCCCCTGTGTCTTGCCCACGCTTAGCCCATGACCGTGTCGCCCCTTCCTCGCCCTCCACCACCAGCTCTCCCCACAACCCCCAAGCGGCTGGTACATGGCTTTCTGGCCACGTTCTCCTGACTGAGCTCAGGGACCTCTATCGGAGAGCCTGTCTCTAGGGTGAGCGCTGTCCCTTTCCCTGCCAGGCAACAGGAATTAGATGCCTGGTGGGTGATGGGGACCTCGCTAGTTGCCCACCCTCTGCCTGGGTGTGAGCCTATCCAGCCCGGCAGCCCCACAGGTAGCTCCCTGTGTGACACTCAACACGCAGGGGCTCAGCGTGTTGAGTGTCACGGCTGAGCAACTCTGCCGTCTGGGTCCCTGACCCCTCCCAGCTGTCGCCTTGAGTCTGTGAGGTCAGAGGAAGTCCGACCCCGGCCCAAACCTGTTCCACCTTCCGGCTAGACCGACAGGGCTCACTGACTGCCGTCAGTAGGGCCTTCTTCGCTTCGGGTGAGGAAGCGTGGCCCTCTAACTCCAGGCGAGAAGTCCACACACACTCTGGCCCTGCTGTGCCTCGGGGCATTTTTCTCCCTTCCGTACCTACAGTGGTTCCTTCCAAAAGCCTCAGGTCTCCGCCCGGAGACCTGCTGGGGGTGATCACCCGGAGACCTGCTGGGGGTGATCACCCTCGAAGGGTAGAGTCCCTACGGCTTTAGCATCTGTTTCATGCAAGACCCCGAGGCAGGAGGGACTGCAGGAGGACAGAAGGCAGAGGGGACGCCGTGAGGGATGCTCTGCATCCCAGGAGACCCACCCACCACTGCAGCTCCCTCTGTTAAGGCACGTTCCCCGTCGCGTCCTGCCTGCAGCGTCGTGGGGATTTCGAAGCGCTGAGTACATCCCCTGGGCGGGACGCTGGGCCGAGTGAGACAAGCAGGTGGCCGGGGCCCGAGTCAGAGACGTGAAGGCAGGAGCCCTAGCCCAGCTCTGGAGTCTCGAGGCCGGATGGGTCCCTGCAGGGAGCAGCTCCTTTGGCGTCACCATGGTACCAGGCAGCCTGCTCCTGGGGCTCAGCGCGCCCAGATGGGCGGGAGGGGTGGGACGTGAGACAGGTGACAGGAGGAAGTGCTGGCACGCAGGGAGCCCTCTCGTGTGAGCTCAGTTGGGTTTTTATTAAGATTTTATTTGTTGATTTTAGAGAGAGGAGAAGGAGAGGGAGAGAAACATCCATCCGTTGGCCCCAAATGGGGACCCAGCCTGCAATCCAGGCCTGCGCCCTGACTGGGAATCGAACTGGCAACCTTACGTTTCGCAGGCCAGTGCTCAACCCATTGAGCCACACCAGTCCGGCCTGACTCAGATTTTTTTAAAAAACATGACAAAGGACAGAAGAAGACTATGGAACAGTAAAAAATAACTTTGGCGGGTCCGTTCCAGTAAGAAATCAATTACCTGCCGTTGAAGGAAAACTCAAAACAGAAGGATGGCACTTGGCATGACTCGTTCTAGAGAATTCCACGTGTCATTTGGGCCGGGCACGAGGGAGCCAGGGGTAGGAGAGGCAGGCGCCGTTCCTGCCTCCCTGTCGCCCCCGGTGTACCGGGAAAGGCACGTTCCCAGACCACACCAGGACGTGGGCGCGGGGCGGGTGCCCCCCACCTGCACTTCCAACAGGCCCTCCAGGCGGTTCCGCCCTGTGCCCCGTGGACCCCGTCCTGAGGAACGCCGAACTAGGGGTCCAGGGCGCCTGGAGGGAGGTTGCTGTAACAGTCTCCCAGGAGATTGCACCCTAGCTCCTGTCCTGTTTAAAGGAAAAAGCACCCCCCACACACCTGCATGTGCGGATCTGCACCCCCACCCCCCAGGACTGGTGTTTTGGAAGAGACCTCAGGAGGCTGCCTGGTGAACGTTCGTAGGACCCCCAGGGGGTGGGCCGCATAAAGTGTGACCGATGCCAGAGGCAAGGTTTGAGATGACGTGTTCAGCCTGGGATGTTGGACTAAAACCAGCCAGGTGAAGTCTCACAGAGACAAGGTGCTTCCCTTTGTGAAAACAAAATAAAAACCAACTCAGCGCCCAGGAAGGAGGAGAGACTGGGCTTTACAGCAGCTCCTAGGAGGGAGCCCAGGGTGCTGGGGGACCCCCAGGTCAGCGGGGGGCGGGAGAGGAGGGTCTCAGGACACCGGCACCCCCACCCGGTGCCCAGAGCTGGCTGGAGCACCTGGGCCTGGACACCTCGCTCAGAGGCCACGTTTAAGGGCGACCTTGACCATTTAGAGGGAACCTGGAGGATCCCAATGAGGTAGACGAGGGTCTGTGGGTCACATGTCTGACTTGGGAGCAGGAGAGAGAGGGCGGCTCAGAGACACGTCCAGGGGTCTGACGGGGCGTCTTGCAGAGGTGGGTGCCCCAGAGGACACCCGAGGAGCCGCGGGGGCCTGGTTCAGGGAGGTGGGCTTCGGCTCGGTCTGAGGCGGAACTTTCTAGAGCCAGAGGGTTTCAATAGGACAGGGGCACAGGGACGAGAGGGAAGGCAGAGAATGGAGAGGGAACCCCCCGACCCCTGGAAGCTTCAAGAGAGACAAGCGTGGCTTTAGGAGACCTCCTGGTCCCCCGGCCCAGCTGTGTGGGACACCTGGGGAGCTGGCCAAGACACAGGGTCCTGGGCCAGCCGGCCACCAGCCTTTGCAGCCACAGCACCAGGGGGCTGGAGTCTTTTCCTGCTGCAAAAATGAACCGCATGGTCAGTCAAGCTCGTCGGCCAGGCCATGCCCAGGCTGGCCCCGAACCTTCACCTTCACCCCCCCACCCCAGCTGCCCAGCCCCCAGGACAGAGCGCCCCAGCCGAAGCAGAAGACCTGCCCTCCCTGGATATTGGGCCGGCTCTCTTCGTAACCACCGAAACCTGGGAGCCGCTGAGACGTCGTCCTTCGGCCGGCGAATGGACAAATGAACCGCGGTCCCTCCGGACGGCAGTAGAACATTGCTCGACACTCGAGAGAAACAAGCCGTGCAACCGTGGGGAGCCACGGAGGAAACGGAAGTGCACGTTATTATGGGAAAGAAGCCGACCCGAAAGGGCTGCCTGCCTACCCCACGGTTCCAGCCGTGTGTCCTTCTGGGACAGACAAAACCAGGGAGACGGTGAACAGTCCGTGGTTGCCAGGGGCCAGGGAGGAGGGCGGGGCGGAGGGACTGGACAGAGAGGATTTTTAGGACAAGGAACGTGCGCTGTGTGTCCCTGCATGGTGGACGCCTGTGATGACGCATCGTCCCGCCCCTGGAATGCACACGGCGCGGGAACCCGAATGTGCCCCGTGAACTCCAGTGATATGATGTGTCGATGTAGGTTCGTCCGTTGTAATCGTCGCCTGGCTGTGGGGGGCGCTGTTGACAGTGGGGGAACCTGGGGGTCGGTGGGAGTGGCAGGAGGTACACGGGTCGTCGCTGATCTTTCTGTTCAATTTTGCTGTGAACTTAAACCTACTCTTAGAAATAGTATATTTTTTAAAAAATGCTCTGGTGTCCCCTCTAACTCCATCTGGGGTCTTTCCCCTAGTGCTGCGGTGGGCATTGGTTTCTATGGAAACAGCGAGACCAACGATGGGGTGTACCAGCTGATCTACTCCTTGGGCAACGCCAACCACACCTTCTCCGGGATCGACGCGCTGGTAAGGCTCTGGGCGGCCAGCCGGGCCCGGCGGCCGTGAGGCCAGTGTGGTGGAGACGGGCCCCGGTGGGTCCTGCCGGGAGCAAACGGGCAGCCTCTGCTCCTCGGGCGGGCGGCACGCCAGGGGTGTGAGTGGGGCCCGGAGCGGTGGTGGGGTCAAACCCCACTCGTCTTCAGGAGAGCTGCACACTCTCCTGCTGGGCCTGGGAGACCCTGAACTTGGGGAATGCGCCTCATGCTCTTTCTACGTCCACATGAAGTGCTGCGTATAGTCTGTTGAGGGGTCCAGGACGTGGCAAGGGAAAAACCTTTCAGGGACAGGTCAGTGCCCCCTGGTGGGAGAGGGGGGCTGGTGAGACTGCCCGAAACCCAGCGAGGTGTCCTCTGGCCCTGGGTGCCGTGGGTCCAGCTGGGGGCTCAGCGTGAAAGGCTGTGCTTGGCTGGCCAGAGGAGATGCCGGACATTCAGGGAACGAAAGAGCTACTCTGCTGAGCCTTCCACCCGAGCGACAGAGACCGGGAGGACGGGGAAGCTGGGTCTCGTCAAGTGTAGACCCTGGGCCCCAAGGGTGCGTGACCTTCGTCAGAAGCACCAGGTCCCGTGGGCAGGGGTTCTAGGCAGCCCCAGTAAGGGCTCCAGGGGCAGCTGTCAGGAAAACCAGTCCTTGGACATCACGCCCTTCCCACCCCCCCACCCCCAGCCCAGCAGAGGGTGACCTCCTAAGCAGGTGGCCCGTTAGAGTCAGACAGCGTCAACCGTCAAAGGCAGCCCCGGCCGGAGCGTGGGGACGTTGCTCTGGCACCGCTGGGTGAGGAGGCTTCGACCTCATTGCCTCTCCTTCTCCGTTAAGCTCCTCTAAGGCCTTAATCTCTCAGCCCTCCAGGAGGGGCGTGCCTTAAAGAGACAGCGGGGCTGCTTCTCCGCACCCAGGGTGGCAGGGGACCGTGGCCCTGGCCTCCGAGAGAGCCTTCCTGGGGCGCTGAGGGGCACTGGGACCCGTCCCTGCAGACCGGGAGCTCCCTGAACGCTGGGATTGGGTGGCTCTGTGGGGCGAGGGGAAGCGGCCGGGACGGGGACGCTGAGGGTGGCCTCGTGGGCCCAATGCGCGCTGACCAGTGCAGGGAGGCCTAGGGGGAACCTGGCCTGCCAGGAGCTCGCCCTCTGGGCCCTTCCTCCCCCTCCTCCACGCGGCAGCATCGGGACCCTGGAGGAGGAACTCGGCCCCGAAAGGAGAATCCCCTGCCCAGGGAAGTCCCAGACCCGTGACCTTCACTGGGTACTGGCTGGCTCGTCACCATTGTAAGGAGTGGCCCTGCCTCCCCCAGGGGTTGAGGGGAAAAGCCCCAGAGCCCTTGTGATGGGAGCCCTGGAGCGCCTGATCCCACCGGAGGAGGGCTGTGCAGGGGGGTGAGCTGGGAACGAGACCCCCGTGGGGTCCATCCGCCGGGCCAGGGGTGAGGGCCCCGGGGCCGGGGCTGGACATGCACAGCAGCCCCGTCCCTCGCTTCCCTCTCACTCCCAAAGGGAAGGGCTCTCTGCCTGTCCCTGCGGCCAGCCCCTCGTCCTCCCTCCACCATTTCTGAAAAGGGAGCTCGGAACCCCCAGCTTTTGTGATGGTGCAGCCAGCGGGACGGCTTCCGTTGTGACCCCAGCCGCCTCCCGCTCCCTCTGGCTAAGCCCCAGGGTCTCCCGGCCTCCCCTGCAGAGGCAGGGCCTCCGGGGCTGCTTTGGGCCTTGGGCTGGGCACCCCGTGTTCCTGGTCCCAGGGGCTCCGGGGCAGGCGGCAGATCCTGAGGGCACCCAGGTGCGAGGGGCGCAGGCCGCGTGTCAGATCAATGGTGTCCGAGGAGACACCGTCCCTGACGGTGCCTGGCAGTCTGCAATGTGCCCTCTGAACAGCGGTGAGGGTGACGCTGAGTGTGTTATCGTAACTCCTGGAATCAGCCGTATTACCATAATCTGCTTAGAGGGCCGAGAAGGCCTGAACTGGCGGGGAGGACCTGGGGGCAGGCCAGGTGACTCGGACCTGAGCCAGAGGGAGTCGGGCCCTCCTGGGTCCCTCTCCTGGACCGGAAGCCCCTCGCGTGTGCCTGGGTGGGAGGGGGCCCGGGCTCAAGGCTCCGGCTGGTGGAGCGGGGTTCTGGATCGGCTGCATGCTCTGATATGGGGGGGGGTCAGAAAGGGTCCCTTGGGACCCTGCCGGTGTTCCTTTCTCGGGACCCAGTGCCCCCCATCTGTGCCCCAGTTACCCAGGGGACCAGGCGCACCTCTCACCCCTCGGGGTCTCAGCCTCAGGGACTGTCACGTGAGCCTGCAGCAGGCCCGTGGGCAGAGCAGCGGGGGCACAGGAAGGCGGCGGCCCTGGCCCAGGCTGGAAGCTCGCGTCTTCAGAGCAAGAGCTAGGACGCTGGAAGGGGAGGGGTCTGGTCTGCGCCCTCCCCTGCAAGGGTGTGGGATGGGGCTCCTCCCCACCCCCCTGCCCAGGCTGCACCCCTTCAACTCCTCGCTCAGCTGCCCTGCTGGAAAACCTCATTAAGCGGAGAAGGTCCTTCCTCCCAGAGGCTGCATCAGGGTCCCTGGGAGGGCGGACCTCATCCCAGAGTTTCTAATCCTGTAGGTCTCCGTGGGGCTGGGGGTTTGCATTTATAACCAGTTCCCAGCTGACGCCCCTGCTGCTGGTGGTCCGGGACCACTGCTCCATCCGCTCCATCCGACGGGACAACAGCTGCCCCCACCTGCCCACTGGCCTCTAGCCCACCCCATCCTGGGCAGCTGAGCTGGCCCTCTCGTCCACTGACCCTGTTCCCCTTCCGGGGTGTCCCCCCGCCGCCTCCCTGCTAGGAGCTCTGTCTGTGCTGAACCTCCAAGGAACTGGGGGGGGCATGGGGAAGGGGGTGTAAGCAGGTCAGGACTGTGCTTTCATGTTTTCATTGTTCTGTTCGCTATGAAAAGACACCAGGAGGGCCTGGCGCATGTCACCGGCTTTTGTTATTTCATCCGAGGAGGGATTTAAGAAAATAGAGAAGTTAAAAATGTAGACAGAGCTACGGAAGGGGAAGAAGTGGTCTTACAGAAAAAGTTGATGGATCTTTTACAGTGCTTTGCCCTCAGGGGCATAGTATAGGAGTGTGCAAACGCCACGTAGCACAAGGTTGGCACGAAGGGTAGTGTTTAACCATAGCGCCTTCTGGAGCCCTGGCTGCCACACACGTGTGCACCGTTCTTCCTGCAGTAACCCAGGACAGCTTATCGGGGCGGGGCTCACCTTCTGTGTTCCCTTTCACACGGCCTTCGCCCCCCTGGGGAGCGTCACGCCGCCAGATCGCTCAGGCGAGGGTGGGCACCTCTGCGCCCTGCGGTCTCGGGGTGCCAAGCCCGCTTGCGAGAACGAGGAACAAGCGGGAGAACGGAGCCAGCCGCTGGCGGTGAAAAAAATAGACAGCGAGACAAAGAGGGCTGTTCTCCTTCCTGGAACCAGGAGCTCGGAGAGCGGTGCAGATGTGAGAACCCGCAGGGCCAAGCCGCTGCCCCACCCCGCCTTCATGGGGGGGGCAGTGGGGGGGGGTGTCGTGGGCTTCTCCTACCGAGCGCAGACTGGGGGAAGCGCCTGCCCCTTCTCCTGAGTCGTTTTTATGTTCCCTCCGGGCCTGGGATCATCAGCCGCGCTCCCCCTTCCAGCCAGTCGTGCTTGCTGGTTTCAGCGCGACAACCTCAGATCAGCAACGCTCTTTCTGCCCTTGGTGCCAGCACGCCGGCCCCCAGAGGGAGGGCTGTGCTGGGGGCTCCTGGGCGGCGACCCCACGTCCGAGCGTCTTCCCGTGCCACTCTCTGCGTGTTCCTTTCTGTCAGACCTCAGGCGGTCACTGCTGTTGTTCTTCCCTCTCTACCTTTGTTTTTTTTTTTATTTTTTAAAAGATTTTAGTTATTTATTTTTTTAGAGAGGGCAGGGGGGGAGAAAGAGAGGGAGAATGAGAGAAACATCAACATGCGGTTGCTGGGGGTCGTGGCCTGCAACCCAGGCATGTGCCCTGACTGGGAATCGAACCTGCGACACTTGGGTTCGCAGCCCGCGCTCAATCCACTGAGCTACGCCAGCCAGGGTGCCTCTCTACCTTTGAATGGCAAGTTGCTCTCCTCAGAGTCCGCCCGACTCCAGGCTCTTCAGGCCCAGCCAGGGGACGGGAGCCTGTCCATCCACCTGCAGGGCAGACGGGCCGGGCGGGGTGCAAGCACACAGAGAAGGGGCTGGTGTCCTCCCCCCACTGCTGCCCCCCTCCCGCACGTGCCCAGGAGGCGGGGCGGGGCTGTCTGTCATTTTGAAGCTCCATTGTCTGCCTTCGCCCGGGCTCAGGAGCTGTCGCTGTTGCTAGGTGATGGCAGGGCTTCTCTGGAGGGGCCTTCCCAAACCCCCAAACCCTGTCGGGGGGACCAAAGGTCAGGCAGCAGCCGAGGGACTCTTCAGCTTAAACGTGTGATTCCCCCACTCGAAGAAAGAACTCATTATCCAAAGTGTTTAAAAAGTTTTAAGAGCACCTGCAAGGCAGAAACCTGGGTATTCATTCATTTCCCCTTTAGAGTAAGGTGCTGGGTCTCGGGGCCCGGGGCCTGTCCCCTGGGTGCAGGGACAAAAGGGCTGGGTGGGTCGTGGGCCTTCTCTCGTCCACCTTCCCCCCGGGCAGTAGCCCCCGGAGCCCTTCGGGGGGGGTCAGCAGGCATGGAAGGAAGCCCAAGCAGCTGTCTCTGCCACTCACAGCCCCCTCCGGAGTCAGAGCCCAAGGCTGGGCCTCGCTGGCTGCCCTCCGCCCGGGCCGGACCCCCACCCTCAGCCTCCCCCCAGGTGTCCGGAACCACCCAGGAGATGACGGTGGACCTGGAGCGGCACCTGGCCCGGCTCAGTGAGATCTTCGCCATGCGGGGCGACTACCTGCAGACGCTGAAGTTCCTGCAGCAGATGGCCGGCAACATCGTCGCCCAGCTGTCGGGAGTGCCCGTGTGGACAGGGGTCACGGCCGAGCTGACCGAGCTGGCCGACCAGACGGGCTACGTGGAGTACTACAGGTGAGGGGCCGGGCGGGGGCCGAGGTGGGGCGGAAGGGCTGCCCTGGCCTCCTTCATCCGAGCCTGCGTCTTGGGGCCCAGGCAGGGACGCGCCACCAGGAAGTCATACTAAGCGCTAAACTGAAATCAGAGAACGTGAGAGCTTTCTGGGGGCGGAGGGGTGGGCATGTGGAACAGCCTCCTGGCCCGCAGCGTGGCTCTCCCCGGGACCAGCATTCTCCCCGCTGGGGCTGGGATCAAGGGCAAGGGGTTTGTATGTTCCTCCCCTGCCGAGGTTTATGGGGCAGGACCCCCTGCCTCTACGGGCTCAGCCGCGGATGCAGGGTCCGGGGAGATGCTGGCCGCTCTGCCTGCACCGAGTCTCCCCTGATGGCGGTTGCTTCGCAAGCCCAGAGATGCACCCCACTCCCCCGGCCCGAGTGCTGGGGGCTGCAGGAGGCCAGCGCGCCTTTGCCGCGTGCTCAGGTGTGCAAACTCACACCCACGTCGTCTGTCCCTCGGGGGTCTGTTTATGTCTCCCCTGCCTCCGCATTCCTCAGACCCCCCACCCCGGTGCAGACACTGGGCGCAGGTCAGCTGACCAGTGGCCGGCTGCCCTCCCCTCACTGTTTGTGCAGGGTCTAGTGAAGGTCAGTCTGCGGGGAGCCAGGGAGGGAGGCAGCGGTCTGGGCTTTGGGTGTCTGCCGGCTGGGGGTCGGCACGCACTCCCGAAGCGCACGTCACCGCACCCAGAGCCCAGCGCAGAGCAGGCTGGTGAGGGCGGAACGGATACCGAATCCTGACCAAGTACCAGCTCTTTGGAACCCCTCCCCACCCGTTTGCTGGCTCCTTTTCAAACCCTTTGCAAAGGTCAGACCCTTTACGGCAACATTGCACAATTGACGCTGGTGCTCTGGATTCATTTCCCCTTTCTGAGAAAGCCCCAACCCAGACTGAACGGAGATGGTAGCAAATGCTCCTGGTGGCCGCCGGCCAGAGACCTCCCTGCCCTGGGCGCTCGCCTCCCCGCCCTCTGCAGCGCATCCAGCCCCTGCGTCCCCGGGGCGTCACGGATGGCTGGATTGAGAGGGACCTGGTCCGGCTTCCCCCCAGCCGAATGCTCAAGGGCAACAGTGCCTTTCTCCCAGGTGACAGAAGGAAGCTGTCATCTCGAAGGCTGTGACCTGTGACCCAAAACAGTGGCATCTGCTTAGTCCTGTGACATGAGGGCCATTCACTGCCTGAGCCTTCGAAATCTTTTGTTTCCTCAGGGGTCGGGGAAGTCAAACGTGGGCATCGATTTCGACCCCGCTGTTCCGTCTAAGCGGACCCCACATAGGGCCGTGTACACTTAGGGACCTGATGTGGGCATTTTGAAAATGACTAGGAGGTAGCCCTGGCTGGCATAGCTCAGTGGATTGAGTGTGGGCTGCGAACCAAAGTGTCGCAGGTTCGATTCCCAGCCAGGGCACATGCCTGGGTTGCAGGCCATGACCCCCAGCAACCGCATATTGATGTTTCTCTCTCTCTCTCTCTCTCTCTCTCTCTCTCTCTCTCTCTCTCCCTCACTCCCTCCCTCCCTTCCCTCTCTAAAAATAAATAAATAAAATCTTTTTAAAATTAAAAAAAAAAAGAAAATGACTAAGGGGAATAGGTCAGAATGTCTATATCAGCAGGAACTTATTTTTAAGGTGATTTCATTTTAAAAAGGGGAGGGGAGGGAGGTGGCAATGGCCCAGAAGCTATTTCAGTCTGGCTGATGGACAGGGACCCCTGGAACTCCCAGCCCCAGCCCCCGCCCCTGGTTCAGGTCCGGGCGGCAAAGGTCTCCTCCAAGGTGAGCGAGCGCCTGTGGCTCCTGAACACCGACCACGGTGCTCTGTCTCTTGTCCTCGCTTGCTGCTGTTTGCTCGCTCCTTCTCTCACCCGAGCTGCTCTAGAACAAGGCTTTGTTTTATTCTTTGACAATATTTTTTAGATTGTATTTATTTTTGGAGAGAGGGGAAGGGACGGAGAGAGGAAGAGAAACATCGCTTGGTTGCCTCTTGCACGCCCCCTACTGGGGACCTGGCCCACAACCCAGGTGTGTGCCCTGACTGGGGATCAAACCCGCAACCTTGGTGTATTGGGGCGATGCTCCAACTAGCTGCAGCTGTGTTGCCCGGCCGGGGCCAGGGTATCCCCGTTATTTTATTCTTGCACTAACCAGCCTCGGGGGCTGGGTCTCCCCCACACAGCCTCCCCACTTTTGCTTTTTGGATGATTCTAAAGCATAACCATCTATCTAAGCAATTATATTTCAGCACTTTTATTCGAGGCCTGGCTAAGTGTTAGAGGCGATAAAAAGCCTGAACAGACTACCCTCTGGGAGAGGCTTCTCACCACGGAGCGAGCACCTGAGAGCTTCCACAGAGGCCGGATGTGGGAGGGGTGGGGGGAGGCAGGGCGGGAGAGGCCTCCTGAGAGCACCCCCGTCCGGGTTGGGAATACATCCCCGGCCATCAGCGGCCCCTCTGGGAAAATGCACCTGCCCGGTAGGGCTGTTTCCCAGAACTCCTTGCAGCCCGAGGTGCAGCTGCAGCTGCAGCGCGAGGCTCCCAGAGGCAGCCCTGGTCCTGGGGAGTGAGTGAGAAGCAATCCTAACTCGATTTCCTGCTGAGGGGGAGAGATATAACAAGAAACCTGTGGGTTTGAAACATGAAACCAGGACGCTGAGAGGGGCCTGGTGGGCCCGCCTGGTCTCTTGCGGGAAGGCGGGCCATTCCCGGGCCAGGCACTCCTGTCGCCGCCTCAGTGTTCCAACCCGTGAATGTGGGGTTCTCACAGCAGATGGTCCCCCAGATTCCTTCCAGCTCTGACTCCGATTCTGAGAAAACTGGCACCTTGGTGGCCTCGTCCTAGTAGAGGGCAGGCTATGCCCTTGCCCCAGAGCCCCCAACTCCATTCCTGGGCCCCTGGCAGGGGCCCACCCTGCTCTGTGCGGGGAGTGAGTGTTTTGATGGGGCTCTCTTGGGGGTGGAAAGGATACCCGTGGCTGCTGGGTGGCCTCCAGCATGCTCCCGCCCCCTGGGAACCCCTTTCTCTCAGCTCCACCCCACTTCCCACCCACACTCCAGGCTCTTTTCCCTTGTCGTGGTATCAGTGGAGCAGAACACCCTTGCTGGGGAGGAGGGGTCAATGAATTGGTTTGGCTTTTGCATTGAGAAAAATAATGAGTACAGGACTTCCCTTTGGGAGACTGGGAGAGGTCCCTTCTCCGCCCCACACCCCCGCTCTGGGCAGTTGTTGTAGCGGAGGGTCAGCGGGGCTGGGGGCTGCTCTCGGGCTTGCTGGATGGGGAGCTCTGCTCTGCTCCACCTGAGCACCCCCCTCCCTCCTCCCAGGTGGCTTTCCTACCTCCTGCTCTTCATCCTGGACCTGGTCATCTGCTTCGTCGCTTGCCTGGGCCTGGCCAGGCGCTCCAGGTGTCTCCTGGCCTCGTGAGTAGCCCTGCCGGGGGGGTGGGGAGGGTGCTGGGACAGAGATCGGGCAGGCGTGTGGGGCAGCAGCACCACGGTCAGAGAGATGCAGTGGGGTTGGGTAACAGCCTGAAGCCACCAGCTCCTTATCTGGGCACCAAGCAAGGACTGGGCTTTCCTCCCTGTGTCCCTCCCCTCCTGGGTCCCCCCAAGCAGCAGAGCCTCCCACCATCCCTAACCAGGCCCCCCTTCTCAGCTAGTGCCCTCACAGCTGCCTCTGCAGCCCAGGGGCCTCATCCCAGGCTGGGGTCCGTCTCCCTGTCCCAGAAGTCAGCAGGGGCCAGCGAGGGCAAGTTCACGCTGAAGTCGGTGGGCGGACTGCCGTCTGGGGGTCCCCTGCCCACCGACCTCCACCTGGGTCCCGCCCACCCGTGGCTGCCTCTCTTCCAGGACGCTGTGCTGTGGGCTGCTGGCCCTGCTGCTCAGCTGGACGTCCCTGGCCGCGGACACCGCTGCTGCGGTGGTGAGTCTGGGGGTGGGTGGGGGTTGGCCTGACCCGGACCGTCTCAGGGGGATGGCACATCAGTGTGTCCTGTCCAGCATGTCTAGGGTAGGGTCAGCTTCTGGCCTCGGTCCCTGAGCTAAAACCCCAGAATCTCAGAGCTGAAGGGGCTGGGCTCTTCCACACCAGGCCTGTCACTCTTCAGGGGGGACACGGCTCGGAGAAGGAAAGGGGCTTCCGCAGGATCATGAGGCGTTTAGGGCCAGAGCCCAGGGAAGACCTCGGAAGCCTGTCCCTTTGTCGCCCACTGGCCTGCTCCCAGCCACCTGCTCACTGCTCGTAAGGGCATGCACAGGTGACCAGGTGACTTCTCACCCTGGCTGCAGCTGCACAGCCTGGAGCACTGGGGTTGTGGGAGGTGTCATGTAGCTGGCTCCGCCCCTTGCCCTTGGACTCAGTCTGACACATGGGTGCGAGTTCCTGGAGGTGGTGCCTCAACATGTTAAAGAGCAAAAAAGCACAGGTGGGGGAGCTTCCTATGGAGGTGTTTGCGTTAAGCTGTGTGCACGAGTCACTCGTTCATTCATGCATTCATCATTCATTCATTCATTCATTCAGCTGTTGCTCGGCTCTGGGGCAGCAGTGGTGCCCGGTGCAAGGGCAACTTCTTGACTGAGGGGCAGCCTGCAGAAGACAGACTTGTGGGCGGGTAGTTGCAGAGGTGCCTGCTGGGGGGTGGCAGGATTTACCGGGAGATCTCGGGGAACCCCTAGCCCACTCAAGGGCCACAGACGGACCCTGTGCCCTGTGTCTGTTCTGCCCGAGCTCCCTGCAGATAAAAGAATAGGGCTCCTGCTGGAAGCCCTCCACCCAAACTCCAGCCTCGCCCAGCGGCCGGGTGGGGCTGGCCGGGAGCTCAGGCCTTGGGCAGTGCGCCCTGTGGTGCCCACGGAATGAATGGATCCTGGTGCTGCTTGGTGCACGGCGGCTTTGGGCAGAGCTTGTCCGGAGGGGGAGGAGGCGAGCAGCTCCTTTGTGGGGTCGTCCCCCAGGCCGTGCAGCATCCTCTTCAGGCAGGAGGGAGAGCTGGACAGGCACGAGCCTGTGTCCCAAGGGCGAGGGCCCCTTCAGATACAGGGAAGGGCAGGTCGGATGGCGGGCCCTGAGCCCGAAAGCATCCTGATGTCATCGGGAGCGGGGAGGGCTGTGCACAGCGCAGGGGAGCGGCTGCTGGCGGAGCGACAGGCACAGCTGCCCGGGGCCCCCCCCCCACCCCCCCGCGCCTCTCCTCGGGGACAAGGGGAGCTCAGGGACGCTCCCACGTGGTGCGCCTCTGGGGGGGGCCCTCCTGCTGCCTGGGCAGCAGCAGCATCCAACGCGCCCCCATAAGCTGCCCTTTGGGAAGCAGCCCCCTCTGGTGGCTCCTCCTCAGTGGGCTTTGGTGTCCAAGGAAACCAGAGGCGGGGGTTTAATCTCCCAGCTGGGCACTGCGGAATGCGAGGGCTCCCAGAGAGAAAGGCCATTCCCCCGGCTGGCTCGGCTGGCTCTGGCCCTGGCTCGGTCAGGCCCCTGGTGCCGGAGCCCGTGTGAATGAGCCTTTGATTGGGCTGCGGGGCCTGCTGCATGTCAATAGGGAATGGGGGGAGGGGGCCGGAGCCGGGGCGGGAGGGGGAGCAGACTCTCAAAGGCTGGGGCAGGCAGCTTTTGTGGCCTCCCTGGCCCTGCCCTCTGAGGGGAGGGCTGTGGGGCCCGAGGACGGACACTGTGCCCTGCCCGGCCCCCACCCCCTGCCTTTGCTGTTCCCAGAAAGAACCCCCCCCGCCCCCAGGGAGGGCCGGGGCCACTGGGAGCTTTGGCTGCACACCAGCGCGAACTTGAGGGGGGCCCCCTGGGAACCCGGGCACCCCTCCCAGCCGTGCAGCCCCGGGGGAGTCACGGAGGTTCCCCAGGCCTCGGCTTCCCCCCGCGGGAGGCGAAGCGGGTCACAGCCCTCACCACAGAGGCTTGTGGGTGGGGCGAGGTGGGTGGCCGGTCCGTGGGAGGCAGACAGGAAATGTTCGGTCCACAGCGGCCACCGCTGGTTACCACCACGGTTCCTGTCATTACGTGAGGGTCAAGCCGAGTCCTTCAGACTGTCACCTCTGCTCTCAGGAGCTGCCCCAGGCTCCGCCACCACCTGGGCTGGGCACCAGGGGGCTCCTGCACCTGCCCTAACTGTGCTCAGGGCCCCACCCTCACCCCGGGTGCCTGCCCTAACGCACACCCAGGCCCACGTCCTCGTTGGCGGGAAAGGTGAGTCCTCATGGGCGAGTCTGAGGGCAGCACTGGCCTGAGGAGGGGACAGGGAAGCCACGTTCCCTGTGAAGCCTCTGTCGGGGCCTCCTGCCCGTCTTGGAGTCCCAGACTTCTTGGGGTGACCCAGACCCAAATGGCGGCCTTGCTTTCTCTCCACCCCCAGCTCGGGGTGGCTGCCCTCTCTCCAGTGACGGGGTGGGGTGCACCTGGGCCGGCAGGTGCTGTGGCTCCGATAATAGAGCAGTAAACCAGTCTGGTCGCTCACGCACGTCAGCGATTTGCATAGAGAGCCGTTCTCTCCAGACCCTGAGCACGTGGCTGTTTGCACAGGTGCGTGTGTGCAGGCAGACGGCCCGGGGGGAGCCCTGTATCTGGAGTGGCATGTTAGTCCCCAGATACCCACGTTTTCTAGGCCGTCTCATGGCGCAGCTCGCACAGGGCATGGCGCCTCGTAAGCGCTCGGTAGATTTCTGTCAGCGCCATGGGTGAATGAGGGATGGCCCAGAGTGGACCCTGGGGCGGCCGCCCCTGAAGGGGAACAGGACACTGGCCAGTGCGGGGCCGTGGGAAGGGGTCCCCTGCTCAGGAGCACACGCTGAGGCAGGGGTGGCCCCTAGGACCCGGCCAGAGGAGCGGAGCTTACCCTTGGCCGCTCTCAGAAGTGGAGGTCCCCTTTACTGGGCCCCCGGCTGGGTCTGGGGATGGCTGGCTCAGCGGGTGACAGTCTTGCTGCCACCTCTCCCAGGGCCCGGGGCTGCTCCCTGTGGTCGCCTAGCCAGGCTGTGCTGTGTGGCCCGAGCCCCCCACTCACCGCCGGCAGAGCCTGGGGTTCCTGCCCTCTGACTCCCGGCCCCGCAGGGTTTCGGGAGCAGGACCCGCCCTCGAAAGCTCAGCGATGGACTCGGCGCCAACAGAGTTAGATAGAGTCGGTCCCGGGAAAGGCTTCGCAGATTGACACCCCAGAGTGTGGGGGCTTGATACCAGCGAGACAAAAAATAAAGCAGAGATGAGCCAATGACCACCCCCCGACACCCACCCTGCAGTGCACCCCCGGCCCAGGCCCGCCCCAGGCCCTCCCAGAAGAGGCATCGGGAACGTGGGCTACTTTAAACTTTACGTAGATGAATTCATAAGGGGAACGGTGTTTTTCTCTCCGCGTCATAGGGGAGGCACCTGAGACACAGAAAGAATGAGTCACGTGCCCGAAGTTACAGAGCCAGGACCCAAACCCAGGGGGGGCTGTTTTCTGGGTGTTCTCCTCCCTCCGCCTGGGACGGAGCCCAGAGGTCCAGCTGCCCAGGGCTGAGGGCACAGGGCCCCTCCCCAGGCCCTGGTGCCGTGCCCTCCCTGACCCCTCTTACCTCTCCCCGGCTTAGGGCGCCAGTGACTTCTGCGCAGCTCCCGACACCTTCATCCTGAACATGACGGAGGACCAGCTCAGCACAGGTAAGAAGTGCGCGGGCCTCCGGTCAGAGCCACTCTGGCCAGCCCCACTGTGCGCCCCTCCCCATCTCAGCCTGGTGGCCACCTGGTCCCTCCCAAACCCCACCCTCCGGGGCAGGGCCAGTGGCCCCTCTGGGCCATTTCACAGAACCTGCCTCCTGGGGGGGCTCGGGAGTGGCCTGGCCCCTGAGGATGGAGGAGGGCCCGGTCCCCTGCCTGACGTCGTCTTTGCCTTGCAGAGGTGACCCGTTACTACCTGTACTGCGGTCAGAGCGTGAGCAGCCCCTTCCAGCAGGTACGGCTCGCCCTGCCCTCAATGCCCTTTGTCTGCCTCCTCTCCCCAGACCCGCAGCCCCGGCCCTGACCGGGAAGGTGGCGGTGGTGGGGTGCCCTTTGTGCCGCCACAGTCCTCCGAGGGAGGCAGTGCTCCTGGTCCACCTCCAGATGGGTGCTTCCCTCACGTGCGCCCAGCACCCAGAGTGCGGTTAGCACGCAGATGCTGTGGAGCAGGTCCGGGGTGGGGCCTGAGGGTCCGCATTTCTCACAAGCTCCAAGGCGAGGCCAGTCCGAGGTCCACTCTGAGTGGCAAGAAGCAAGAGGCCTCTCCAGAAGCCTGAGGGGCGAGGGGAGGCTTTCCTGCCAGCAGGAAAGGCCACCTGTAGTCAGGGGTGTGAGTGCAGATGCAGCGGTGGGGTGGGGGGAGGGTGCGGCAGAGGGACCGGCCCTCGGTGGCTGGGGGCCTTGGGAAATGCGACCTCACCGCGGGGCCGTGCTCTGTCCCGGCCCAGGCGCTGACCGTCTTCCAGCGCTCGCTGACCGCCATGCAGATCCAGGTGGCGGGACTGCTGCAGTTCGCCGTGCCCATGTTCCCCACGGCAGAGGTGAGGCGGTCTCCCTGGCTTCCGTGCCGGAAGGGGGCGGAGCCCCGGGGTCAGGGCTTCGGAGAGCTGGGCTCTAGGGGGCGTCCTCTCCCCAGAGTCTGGCGCCTTGGTTTGGCTTTGAAGGTCGCTGTTTGTGGTTTTATCCACAAGCCCCGCCCCCACCGCTCAGAATCGGTCTACATGTTTGCCTCTTTCCTTCCTCCTGCCTCAGAACGAGCTGCTCAGAATCCAGCTCCTGTTAAACGCCTCGGAGTCCAGCCTTCAGCAGCTGACGGCCATGCTGGATTGTCGCGGGCTGCACAAGGTGCTGGGAGGGCCCAGGGGGCAAGCGGGGGTCGGGATGCCCTCGCTGGCCATGCATTCCCGGAGAAGCCAAGATGGGTGGAAGAGAGACCCCCTAGGCTCCCCTCAGGCCTGGGAGGTGGGGAGGGAGCTGGACAACAGGAAGGTGGGAGAGGGGCTTGGCTCCTTGCTTCTCTCCAGTAGCTGAGACAGGGAGACCCGGTGAAAGTAGCAGGACTGGATCAGGTTACCTGCAGATCACCGGTGACGGCCATCTGGTCAACCCATCCACCTCCCCGGGTTGCAAGTGGGCGTCCCGATCTGCTTGCCAGGGCCGTCTTTCCGGGGATTTGAACGGTCAGACACTGATGCCGGACACACACACTGGGAGTATGGGAGCCCTCCCTCCCCCCAGAGCAGCCGGCCAGTGTGTGCTGACAGTGTTCACAACTCAGGTGGACGCGGGGCAAACGGTCACGCTCACAGTCGTGGCTGCCACAGACCGAGGACTGGGCTGTGCACGCCACCTTGTCCTGTGCACGTTGCGACCGATGTGCCCTTCAGTCCTCGCAGTGGTACTGTTGCAGAAAAGTCATTCACACGCGGGGAAGATGATGAAGCACAAACTTTATTACCCAGGGGGGCCCAGAAGGTTAAATCCCTAAATTCTGAGCCGAAAAAGCTGGGTTAGGGGTCCTTTTTGTATACCAGTTACACAGGCAGAAAGGGAGGGGGGAACCAGCTGCTGAAAGCAAAGCGTTCTGAAGCAGGAGCAAGGTCAGTGGCCTTGAGATAACCAGCCGTTGCCTTGGTGACGACTGGTCAGCTTCTACAGTCCTGTGTGAAATTTTGCAAGTGTTACAGTTACAGAGGAACTTTTGGAGTTTTTCTTTTCCTGCCATAGTACTACGCAGCCCATATCATTTCATGGGGAGTTTTACAGATGAGGAAAGCGTCTGTGTGGATGGATAGGTGGAAAGACCGATGGTTCTCTGTGTGTGTGTCTATGGATAGACGATAGGCAGGTAGACAGATACAGACAGACAGAGTGTGCGTGACTCACCGAAGATTCCAGAGTTGCTGGGTCAAGCTTGGGTGCTGCGTCCTGGCCGTCTGGCTTAAGAGCTGAGAACACGAGCATCACCCTGGACCCTCCCTCCCTCCCCGTCCACGGCCAGTCAGCCCCGCAGCCTGCGCCAGCCACTGCCCTCTCAAATACGTCCCGAGTCCGTCCGTATCGCGCTCCGCCGCTCCCGCCCTGGCCCTGGCTTCCTGCCTGGTCTCCCGTGTTCTCCCACCCCCTTCCCACCCGTGTCCTTGTGGGAGCAGCAGCCAGAGCGATTTGAATTAAAAACAGACTGGATCACAGCCCTTCCACCCCAAACCCTCCGGTGTCTTCCGGTCGTGGTGTGATAAACTGCAAACCCCTCCCCCGCCCCGTGAGCCCCGGGACGCCCCGGCACCCACTCAGCCCGTCTCCTGTTGGCCTTGTTCCTCTTTCCCGGACCTGCCAAGCTTGACCCTCTGTGTCACCACTCAAGGTGCCATCCGCTCCGTCTTGCCTACCCCCCGGCCTCAGAGTAAATGCCCCACTCCTCTGGCTCCCCTACCCAGACTCCCACAACCTGGCCGTCCCTGTTCAGAGCCGACCCTCCAGGGCCTAGCACACAGTAGGTGTTCAGCAAATGTCTGTAGAGTGACCCTGAGGAGCCCCATTGTGTTGGGATCCAGAATGTGGGCCCTTAAGGCCGTTGGGGTGCTGAGGATGTGAAGGGTGGAGCTCCGGGGGCCAGGCTGCACCCGCTCCCTTCCAACGGTGTGTCCCTCCCCCCAGGACTACCTGGACGCCCTCACTGGCATCTGCTACGATGGCATCGAGGGCTTGCTCTTCCTCGGCCTCTTCTCCCTCCTGGCCGCCCTGGCCTTCTCCACCATGACCTGCGCGGGGCTGCGGGCCTGGAAGCGCTGTACCACCAGGTGGGCTGCCTGGGCGGGGGGCACTTCCCCGGGGAGCAGGCGGGAGGCTCTGCTCTGCCTGAGCCGAGGCTGATAACCCACGAGGGACCAGAGCAGCCGAGGGCCCAGGCATCTGGCCCCAGCAAGCTGCCTAGCTTTCTGCCGAAGCTTCCCTGAGAGTCCAGACAGACCCCCCAAAAGGGGGCTCCTCGGGAGCCCGGGCAGGAGTGGGTCTGAGGATAGGGACAGCCACTCCTGTCCTCCTCCGCGGGACTCGGTGGCGTGAGGTAAATGAGGAGAGCTTTCACTGCGGGGCGGGGCGCCCCCAGCAGGCCAGGGAGCACAGGTTGTATGTAGCGCGGTCACCAGGGACCTACAGTCTCACTGGGGACATAGATGGGGAAGCAGGTTAGGGAAGGTCAGTGTGCACGTGGTCAGCACAGTGGGCTGCCTGGAGGAGGTGGATGTGAACTGGGGACGGGGCTGAGTGACCTATGAGAGGCGCCGCCGAGGACCGTGTCTCAGAGGAAGTTCAAGGACACACCCGTGGCCAGAGGGAGCGTCCTGGGTCGGGACCCCACTGCCCTGGAACCTCCCTCGCCCTCCATGGTCGGCCGTGTTCTGCGTGTCGTTGCAGGGACCGAGACTATGATGACATCGATGAGGATGACCCCTTCAACCCCCAGGCCCGGCGCATCGCCGCCCACAACCCGCCCCGGGGGCAGCTTCACAGCTTCTGCAGCTACAGCAGCGGCCTGGGCAGCCAGACCAGCCTGCAGCCCCCGGCCCAGACCATCTCCAACGCCCCCGTCTCGGAGTACATGTACGGCGGGGGCTCCCGGGGCCTCCCCTCGCACGGCCTGGCCCAGGGGAGATAGGTCTGCAGGTCCAGAGAGCCAGGCGGGGAGGGGGGCATCGAGGCGGGCGGTGGTCCCCTCACTGCAGCCTAGAATGCCAGGGAGGAAGGCAGCCCGCGAGCATGTGGTCACGTGACCCCTGCCCATCCTTCCACGCGTGTGGGTGAGGATCTCCCCGCACAGATGCCAGGCCTCCCTCCACGAGCCCGCGGGGTGGGTCTCGGGGCCGAGAATCGGCATGTCTCCCAGGCCCTCCGGCGGACGTCTGAGTGCCTTCCCCACGCCTTCCCCTCCTGAGCTCTCCTCTTGGCCCCCCAGGAACCAAGCTGTGCTCTTCGGAGGGAACCCCCGCTACGAGAACACGCCGCTCATCGGAAGAGGCTCCCCGCCCCCCACGGTAACCCGGGCTCCCGCGAGGGGGATGGGCGGAGCAGTGCCTGAGCCAGGTGCCGGTGGGGGAGGGGCCTCCGCCTGCACGCAGCCGGACGCGGCGCTTCACTCGCCCCCTGCAGGGGGTTTGGGAGGGACCCTCCCGCGGATGAACTGGGAGCCCCGGGAGACCCAGGGCCCTGGGGTCCGTGACACAGGCCTGGCCCCTGAGGACCAGGATGCTCACGGGTGTCCAGCAAGGGCTCCTGGCGAAAAGCACAGCGCCAGACCCAGGCACAGGAGATGGGACCCAGCCCCGGTCCTCGCGAAGCGCATGACCCTCAGGAGGGGACAGTCAGCAGAGCTGCGGGGAATCAGTGCCACCGGCACCGCAGGAGGGACCTGGAGGGGGAACCATCCCGCTGCTCTGCAGGACCTGGAGTAGGTGGCGCCGAGGCACGCGTACCTCGAGGCAGCGGCCTCACCTGGCGATTATGCCCCCCAGGGGAAGTTTGGCCACGTCTCCTGGCATTTTGGTTGTCACATCTGGGAGAAGCTGCTTTTGGCACCTAGTGGGTGGGGACCAAGAATACTGCTATGCCCCCTGCAGCACACGGGATGACCCCCACCCACCACACACTGTGACCGGCCCCAGGGGTCCCTAGCGTCAAGGTTGAGAAACTGCTCTGACCAACCACTGGTCTCTCTCTGCATGACCCCGCCTTGCAGTTTTTGCCCCGGGCACCTCCCCCACTAGACCCGGGCCGAGCTCCTGAGTCCAGGGCCCCAAGGCCAGGAGAGTGGGTGGGTGGGTGGAAGTCAGCACCTTTGGAACAGCCCCCCGGCTTTTCTCTCTAACCAGAAGCCTCTGGGTTCCTCTTCTTTGCCACCCGCTGCAGGGGACCCAGGGGTGCAGGCTGATGTTTATGTGGATCTGAGCACTGATCATTAGGGGGAGTCTGCCGCAGTGAAAAATGAGTTACTCAAAGCACCGCGATGCCAAATAAAAATGACTTTCAGATTACGTTCCGCTCTGAGAGATCCAGGCCACTCTCCCTGCCGTTAGCACAGACCAGCAAGGACTGGCCTTATTTGCAAGGCTCAAGAACAGGGAGCAAGGCTGAGTCAAGGTGGACTAGGCAGGCACCTCGGAGGGAGAGTGGCTGGCCAGTGCGGGCACCGTGCATTCCAGGCTGGGAGCCAGGGGTCCCGGTGGTCCCCGGGGCGGGCTGCTGCCCGGGCCACTCTAGTTTCTCGAGTCCCCGTGATGCCCTGTCATTAAAACTTGGTGCCCACCCTGCGGTGTGGCGGCCCAGTTGGTTGGGTGGCCCACAAAGCGAAAGGTCACCGGTTGGACTCCTGGTCAGGGCGCATGCCTGGGCTGCAGGTACGGTCTCTGGTCGGGGCGTGTAAGAGCAGCAACCAATCGATGTTTCTCTCCCTCTCCATCCTTCCCTTCTCTCTTGAAATAAATAAATGAAATCTTAAAAAACAAAAAAATCGTGGTCCCTGACCACTGTGGCTAACTCAACTGTGGCCGGTCCGGCTCTCTCTTCCTCAGAAATTCCGGGTGCCTGTGCTAGGACAGGGTGCAGGGTGACTGGTGACGTGTATGACCCTGATCTGACAGTCCCCGCCCCTCTCTCTCCCACAGTACACTCCCAGCATGAGGGCCACCTACCTGTCCCTGGCGGATGAGCCCCTGAGGCACTACGGCCACGAGTTCCCCGCCTAACCGCCTGCCGGAGGGCGCCGCCTCCTTGGCCCGCTCCGGTTTGTCATGGACTCCCGCGACAGCTGCGCTTCTTCGGTGGAAACCAAAGGCGTCTGGAAAACGGTCGCAGGACTGCGATGGCCCTGTTCCCACAGAGGGGCCACCAAGGGTCAGGCAGATCGGCCTGGGCGCGGCTGCCCTGGGGCAGACGGAGGACCAGCCTCTCCCACTGCCGGCCTCTTCTCCACACCGGGACCGTCCCCCAGCTGCTTGGCCGTCCCTACGCTGGCAGCCGGGCTCAGCTGACCCCTACACCCCGCGCTGGCCAGGTGGGGCAGAGCAGTGAGGAGGGGCCGGGTCAGGCTCTCCCTGCCAGCACAGCCGGAAGGCCGGGCCACCACTCTCTCTGAGTGACCTGTCTCCTCCTGGCTATGTGGATGGCAGCATTTCCCTGTAGGCAAAGGTGGAACTGCTGATCGGGAGATGCTTTTAAGGAAGGCGGTGTCCCCAAAGAGATCAGAAACTGTCCAAATCGGTCCCCCCGGGGCCTGGTGGCCTCTTCCGGGCCACAGAGGGAAGGTGTTGGGGAGCTGTGCGACCCCAGGGCCGGGGGACCGACCCTGGTGGGTGTCTACAGTGACGCCAGGTGGGAAGGGGGTGGAGCCTGCCCCATCCTGCCGGCCTTTCTGCAACCCTCCATTCCGGAAGCGACGCTGTGAGTTTGTTCGCCACAGGTAGGGGCAGTCTCAGGTACTAACACACACTTTGAATGCAACTGTAACTCTTCCCCCCCGCCTGCCCCGTGTTTTAAATACTTTGATGGTCCAAAGACTTGAACCTCATAGCACAACCAGTTTTTGCAATAGACTTGGGGCTCATTCCTGCCACTCGATCTGTCTGCCATTCCTTTTCAGAGCTTGCCGCCCCCAGCCAGTTCTGTAAGGATCGGGGGGTGGGGGAGAGGGGGTCCTTAAACAAAGTAAAGATCAGTGAGACTGCCTGTCCTAAGCTGCTGTTGGATGGGAATGTGGGTTCATCCCCTGCCCCCCCCCCGCACCCTCACTCCGGATCCTTTAAGGGAGGGAGGGAGGGCAAACAGCGTGGACGGCCCCCTCCAGAGGAATGAGTGGCCAGGGTCCCCTCCCTCTTGTCTGCAAGTGAACTCGTCAGTGAAGGTTTTAGCAGAGCGGGACAACTCGGCATGTAGACAGGTGTCTTCCTCACCTCCCCCATGCTGTTCTGCCAGCCCCCTGCGCGACACCTGCCAGGTGAGGAGGAGCTTGTGAACCAGGAAACAGTAATGACCCATCCCTCTGCCCGCTGAGGAGCCGGAGTTCGGGTCTGGTGCTGCCAACGTCCTGCCCAGTAGTCGGTGCGCCCAGCGCTGGAACTTCCACAGCCTCACACGCCAAAGCAGGGACAGGGGCTGGCGTGGCTTGGGACAGGGGCTCTTGTCTGCATTTTGGAAGAGCCACCTTCTCATCAAAACAATGACGGCGGTGTGGGGCCCAGCCCCCAGCCCAGCTCCCACAGCAGAATGGGGCCGCAGGGCAGCCAGGACTCAGCTGCATTAACCTGGAAGAACGGTCTACCACGAACACCCCTTTGTGTGGCCACGTCGTGGGCAGATAGAAACTCTGTGACAACAAGCTGTTGCTTCTTAATCTTTCATCATTGGCCACTAGAGAGTTGTTTTTAACGCATGTGAACTAAACTAGAACCCTCACGTGGTGCCCGGAGAAGCCAGGCGGGCGCAGCGCTCCTTGGCGCACGTGCGCCCCCACCTGGACGACAAATAAACCACTTGTACTAAAATGTGCGCTCGGCGTCTAGTTTTCTCCGCGGCGGGGGATGGGGGAGGGGGAGGGGCTGCGGGGCCCCTTTTGGCTGGGTTGTGTGGTCGGAGCTTCAGAGCAGATTTCAGTATGAGGACTGAGAGATGGGGCCACCGAGTGAATGTCGTGGCCTCATTTGGCCCCTGGCTACTCCGCCCTCAGACCTCGTTGCTGCCTTTCTCCAAAGGTCTCCGTGACAGTCATCGCTGCTAATGTTGCCGATAAGAAGCCGTAGTGCATGGAACCCCTGCCCTGTGCCAGGAACTCTCCCAAGTATTTACGTCACTTGTTCATCAAACCCACAGCAGCCCTATGGGGTCGCTCGTGTTGCAAATAAGCCGACAGAAGCACAGAGAGGGTAACCTGGAGCAAGTGCCAGAGCCCACAGTGCCAACCCAGAGCCCCAGCTGGGTGCCCCTGCAACGCTGTGGAGTTGGGAGTGGGGGCGGTGGTCACACGGGGGGCTCCTGCCCCCCTCCCCGCGCCGCCCTCCCCCCCCGCTCTGCCGTGGGTCCTTTCTGTGGTGGCCATTTTGTCAGACTCTGGATTCTTACATGACACGCGCAGGGGGCGATAAGGTAGCAGAGTGGAGGCCGGGGTTGTAACTCCCACGTAGCGGCTGAGGGAGGGCCCTGCAGAGTGGGGAGGCAAACGACCTGCCAGGTCACACGCAAATCAATAAATAGCAGAATTCGGCATCGACATCACCAGCCAGGGCTCAGGACTTCGGAGCCCTGATTACAAATGGGCGTTCCCTCCGGATCCTGCCCAGGGCACTTGGCTACAAACGCTTCTGGCTAACTTGTTGCTTAACCTCCCGCCTAACTCTGGAGACCTCCAGAGGAAGGAGGAGGGATCCGCTGCGCTTGGGTCTTTCCCTAACGCGAGGTCACGTGCTCCACTCGCCCCAGCGCCTCCGCGTCCTCGGGTCAGTCAGGTTGCTAGGCAACGGGTAAACGCCGCGGCCAGGAGCCGTTTGAGCGACGCTGGGGGCAGCCCTGCAGCTCGCGCGCTTCCCCAGCGGCCCGGCGGCAGGCCCGGCGGCAGCAGAGCCGACGGAGGTTAAGCGAGGGCGCTGGAGGACGTCAGAGGCTGAAGAGGAGAGCGGAGAGAGTGAAGGCGGGAGCCACTGAGGGTAATAATCACTCAGAGTGCAAGGAATTCCTGATGGGGGCATCCTCCGGGGGTAGCTCCTACAGGTGGCGGCAAACCTGTGTGCCGTGTGATCAGGACTAGCGCTCTTAGGGTGCCCGCCTCGTTGGTCCTCGATACCCTCGGCGCCCTCCTGTCACAGAGCCCTGCAAGTTATATAAACACCTTGCCTCCTGAACCCCTGCTCCCAGCCAGCGGTCCTGATCCCCATGATCTGTCCCCTGGAGGGGTCGGGAGACCGCCAAAGGGTTTTACGGCTGAACGCAGGGGGAACACAGCCTGCGCTGGGGTGGCGCGAGGGTGGGCGGCCAAGAGGAGAGCTTACTGGTGCGAGTGGAGGGCAGGGAACTTGCAGCGAGTGAGCACCGGCCCGGCGGCAGGTCCTGCAAATGCACCCTCTGTGTAGTCCTCGGGGCTAGTCGCCGCTGCAGAGCCGGAGTCCGGCGCCGGCTCTGTCTGGACTGAAGTGCTGTGACCTTGGACGAGGTACTCAATGTCTCCGGGCGTCGGTTTCTCCATCTGTAGAATGAGAGTTGTGGTAACTTTTCGGGGGACTGTGGGACGGGGGGGGGGGGCACACAGAGGGCCTGTGCACGCGTTCACGGGGCCTGGGGCCCATTTGTTAAAGAAGATTTTGTTTGTTTGTTTGTTTGTTTGTTTGTTCTTAGAGGGGAAGGAACCCACAACCTGAGCCCTCGGGGACTCGCGTCGGAGGCCCGCTGAGAGGTAGGAGGGGCCCGCACAAGGACAGCTCCGCTCCACCGTGTAGTGGACAGACCCGGTCAGGTGACCAGCAATTTAAGCCACTGAGGAGCATTCGGACCCCACAGAGTCTGTCGGCTGTGAGGGGGGTTAGTGGGATCAAGGGCCCTTTTGGGGTGAGCGGAGAACAAGTCGTAGGAAGCGTCCACTGCATGTCTAAGACTTCCAGTCGGCACCAGTAAGAAACACACTTCCTTGCACTGCACCCGAGCGCTTGCTGTTCACGCTTCTCCCAAGAGTGTCAGGTCTCCCAAGGACTGCGTGGCCCGGCCAAGGTCGAACAGCTGGTGAGCGTCAAGGCCAGAACCTGAAGTACGGATGGCCCAGTCTGCTTTCCAGTTCCCCAGCGTCTGTCATGACCGATAGTGCAGATCCGAGGGCTTCTCTAAGGCCTGACAATTCTGCCGGTTGAGGAAGTGGTCCCGCCTTCCCGGCTCCCATCCTGGGCGGAGCAGGGTGGGGTGGGAGGAGTTTCCAGGGGGTTCCCCGGAGGGTGGAGTCCTGTAACCTAGAACTGCGGAATGGTGAGTCTTTGGGCCATCCGGTGGTTGAGTGGGAGACTTTCTAGAAAGGCCCAAGGCTCTCAAACCTGTGTGCCGTGTGGTCGGGTCCAGTGCCTGGCAAGGAATGTAGCCCAGAAGAATCGCCATCAGGACTTCCGCCTGCTTTGCAACCGGCATGCTAGCTTAGTACAAACCGGGTTCCGTCGGGGTGAGCGCTTTGGAGCCGGGCAGACCAGCCCTGCCACTAGCTCTGGGATCCGGACACGGCCTCGGGGCATCTCTGAGATCGGATGCCTCCCGGGTGAGATGGAGATTTTGTGGTCCCCTCGGAGGGCCGTGGCAGGGGCTGAGCAAGGACGCGCCTAGCGCATCCTCATTACCCAGTGAATGATTTCTTAAAGATGCAGCTTCTGGACAAATCCCTGAGAAGCCCTCCCCTCAACCAGATAGGGAACCTGGAGTGAAGTTCCTCCCGGTAAAGCCCACGCGGGGGCCGGGGAGCAGCAGCAGAACGGGACCCCTCACTGCACACCGTCCCCCTGCCCCCGCAGTGGTCGTTACCATGGAGATCGTGTACGTGTACGTGAAGAAGCGAAGCGAGTTCGGCAAGCAATGCAACTTCACCGACCGCCTGGCGGAGCTGAACATCGACATCCCGCCCAACCCCGAGCTGGCCGAGCTGTACGTGGAGCGGAACCCCGTGGACACGGCCATCCAGTGCTCCACCAGCATGTCCGAGCACGAGGTGGGTCCCCGCACCCCGGCCTGGCCAGCGAGGGTGTGGTCTGGGTGACTTCCGCCCCCTGGAAGCCGGGTATGCAGTGAACCGCTGTGTATGCTGGAAGGGTGGGGGGCAGGAGCGCCCCACAGTGGCCAGGGGCCGACCCAGCCCCCGGCAGTCCCTGGGCCAGGCGGGTGGGCTGGTCAAGATGTTCTCTCCCCCAGGGCCTCTAGCCTCCCTTTTAAGGCTCTGGAGTCATTTTAGGCATTTGGTACAGGTGGAAGAGGTATTCTGAGTGGGTGGTGTTTTATTTTATATTATTTATTTATTTATTTTAGAGAGGGGGGGAAGGGAGAGAGAGAGACAGGGAGAGAAACATCGATAGAGAGAGAAGCATTGAGCGGTTGCCTCTCGTACACACCCCACCGGGGCACTAAACCCACAACCCAGGCACACCGAGAATTGAACCAGCGACCTTTTGCTTTGCGAGACAAGGCCCACCCCGCTGAGCCATGCCAGCCAGAGCATCAGGGCGCAGAGATTTGTATCCACAGGCGAGCCCAGCTGAGCCAGGCAAGGTTGCCGTAGAAAGTTCTGGTCAGAGGGGCCTCCTCCGGGACAGGAGAACTGGGTCACGTTGCTGATCGGTCTCCCAGCGAGCCCCCCGCCTGTCTGAACCAGGTGGCCAGCTCCCAATTATCGGGGGGAATGCCAGGAGGAAGCTAGACCGAAGGAGATAACCCATTTACCATGTCCCGAGTCAGCCGACTGAGAATCAGAGTTCTGCTTTGATCAAAACACACGGTGAACGGGGTAGACGGTCCCGATGAGTCCCAGCTCAACAGGGACAAACACAGCATGTCCTGGGGCTAATCGTGGTCACGGGGGCGGGGGGGGGCGGGCACCAGGGCAGTGTTGTCCGTGGCATAGAGGTGGCCACCACAAAGGCCACACCACGTTTAGGGTCTCCTGTCAGCATCTCTGCCCTGCGAGGACAGCTAGCGTTTGTGGGAGCGGGCCCCAAAAGGGACGGGAGAGGGGGTGTGGGGTCTCCTCGGGGGGTGACGAAAAAGCTCAGGAAGCAGAGAGTGGGGACAGTGGCGCCATGCTGTGGATGTGCCTGACACCACTGAACTGTACACCTCCAGTGTTTACAGCGGTGACATTTGCGTCGCATGTATGTTACCACAATGGTTACAGTGGGGGGAAATGGAAAGGAGGCAAACTGGTAAGTGTAGGGGTTAACAGTGCGCCTCTGCCCCCCGCCCCACCCCGCCCCGCCACAGAGAATGGGCAGAGCGAACCCAGGCTCTCAATGGTTCCTGCGTCTCAGTCCCGTGACCTCATAAACGGCGGGACGGAGAAGGATGTTGCCTTCTTCCTCCTCCGGGATCTCACAGAGCCTCACGGGGGTGGGGTTTGGATGAAGTCAGAAGTGGGTTTTCCGTGACCAGGGGCAACAGTGGCGAAGCTGCCGGCTCCACACAGCGGCACGTCCGTGGTTGCCCGTGAGCCCTGAGGACCAGCCACCCCCTCCCTGGTCCCTGAAAATCCTGTGGTTTTGGCCAAAGACACCCCACGGGCCCATCCCTGGGCGCTCGGGGCTCCGGACCCTGGGCTGCAGCCCTGGCTAAATGCTCACACCGGGGCGGGCGTGCTCCCCTGGGGCTCTCCGTTCAGGCCAACACAGAGCGAATCGAGATGGAGACCCGGGGTGTCAACCACATCGAGGGGGGCTGGCCCAAGGATGTGAACCCCCTGGAGCTGGAGCAGACGATCCGCTTCCGGAAGAAGGTGGAGAAAGACGAGAACTACATCAACGCCATCACGCAGCTGGGCTTG